CAGAGGCTTTGGGTCAGATGGGCCCCGGCCAGGTTCAGTCTCCGCTGTCTTTCTTGGCTTTTGTGGGGGGGGGGTGGTGGTTCCAGAACCTGCCTGTGGGACCAGCAAGGCTGGGTGGACACTGCACCTGGCCGGACCTGGAGGCACGCGAGCCTGGGGCGTTACTCTCTGCCTCTAGTAACCCCGGCGCCTTCCGGGGGGACACTAGGGCCTGTCGAGCCCAGCGAAGTTGAACTATAGGGGGAATGACTTCCTCATGTATTCCCTATCCAGTTCAGACACCAACATCCACCCAGTTGCCCAAACCCGAAACCTGGGCGTCATTCTCCTCTTCTGCATTCCTTTACCCACTCACATCCAGTCCATCGCAAAGCTTTCTTGGATACATTATTTCTCCACGTTTAGCCCCTCTGCCCCAGCTAGTTGAAGTGACTACCATCATCTCTTCCCTGAACTACCTCAGTAGGCTTCAAACTGGTTCCCTGCATCTTTTCTTCATCTTCTGTAGTTTCTTATGTCTAGGGAAGCCAGAATGATGGTCTTGAAACATGAATGTGATAGTATCACCAGATCTCTCTCTCCATTCCCTTACTGCCTTTCGGTAGATTCCCATTGTTCTTCCAAGCTCTTTAACACAGCTTGCAAGGCCCTTCATGATCCGTCCTCTTTTTACTTTAGACTTTGTCTTCGTTATACTGTTGTCTTCAAGATATTGTACCTTTTTAAATTACTGTATTGGACCAAGTCCTTCTGACCTTAGTTGTGCTTTACATTATGTTCCCTTTGCCTGAGCTACTGTCATCTGGTTGAATAAATTCTCATTCTTCAAGCCATACTCCAGTTGTGGGTTGAAACTCCTGTTCTTTCCTATGGGTGTCTTTGCTGGTCTGTGTCTTCACTAGCCTGTGATCTGTGAGAAGGATCTGGATCAGTTGCATCCTCAGAACCTTACACAGTGCCAGGCTCTGATAGTATATTTAAGTGTACAATTGAAGCATGAAAGTTCCTTGGGGAATCTCCATGTGAACAAGTATTTCAAGACCTCCAACCCATGTAGAGGTTTTTTTGGCCTAGGAACTTGGATATTTTCTTGCCTTCAGTCCAGGACCATAGTAGCAGTATGTGGGGAAGTACTGTCATAGGTTTTCTTTGGCTCTCAGTACAGGATATCTGAATGTTGGTGAGTGTAGGTGCTTTAAATTGGAGCTCTTAACTGAAGGTTCCCAGTGTAGGTGAAAAGCTGCTATCAATAGCTGCTATAGTTGTTGTAGAAAGAAGGCTGGCTCCAAACTCTTACCAGCTGATAGGACTAATGACACAACAAGAGGAAAGAGTGAGCCCACTGGCCAGAGGGCTCCAAAGGGAAGTTTACTGTTCCAGCTTAGGTTAGACCCTCTGTGATAGGAACAACTCACTACCCTGATTCAGATGTGAAGGTGTACTATCCCCAGGACAGCCCACAGATACTAGTTAGGAGGGAAAAAGGGGAAAAAACAAAACAAAAACTCATTGCCGTTGAGTCGAACCCAACTCATAGCAACCCCTCCTTGGGTTTCCGAGGTGGTATCACTACAGAAGCAGATTGCCCAACCTTCCTTCTGAGGATTGGCTAGTGGGTTTGAACCACCAGCGTTCTGGTTAGCAGTCAAGTGCCTTAGGTACTGTGCTACCAGAGCTCCTGACAATATGGTATGGTGAGGCCAAATGAATGTGAGAGGCTGCAGAACAAGGCTAGAGGAATGTGAATCAGAGTTGGCTAGAAGAATGGGGAGGTGACATTTGAACCTGACCTGGGAGAAGAGAAAGGACAGATGGAAACAGTGGGAGCAAAGGCTCAGGGACAGAAAAGGCACTCTCAGGGGAGGCCACTGAGACTGGAGTGTGGTGGGGCACACTGGGCTGGACTAGGGAGGGCTTGGACAACTCAACTGAGGAGATGGCTTCTACTGGCGTCTTTCTCCATTCTTATAGAGCCAATTGTACCTGTACAGCCCTATTATAGTTGGCATGGTCGGAGGCCCCAGTTCAGTGTTTCCCTCCCAGGGCTCAGGCTTCTTGTGAGAAATGTCCCAAGGCATGGATTGTGGGTGTTCCCCGCCCCCCACAGTGTTCAGTGAAAGTTGTTTTTAAGATTATTTTACTCCTGGATCTTCTCAAGTGTTTCTTTCTATGTTTGCCCTTTTCCTTTCCTGGTTGGTGAGATCTGGCTTTACGTTCAAGGATCTTTTTGTGGTCTTTGTTCAGTTGTAACTGGGTGATAATCGCCTTGCTGGGGTGAATGCCCATATGGACAATTATGCCATTAGCTTTATCTCACTGTACCTGTTCAGTGTAGATGACATATTTCTTCCTGTAAACCTGTTCTACTTTGCCAATTTGCTGACCTTTGTATTATCCTCACATAACCTGAACTTCATCATCCTTTTGGATGGGCATGGACCAAACATTGTATTTCTGTCTCAGTTCCTTGGAAAGAGGGGAAAACAGGCTTCCTGCGAATGTGGGAAGGTGCATTGAAATGCCTTTTACGGTTTTTGCTCTGGTCCGAAGTCACAAAGGGATTGAACTTCAATTTGACCACTGCCGCTTCAGCGATGGACGCAAAAGGGAGAAGAGTGGCATGGGTTGTGTTTTGAAGTCTCTTTGCAGAAATTTTCCCATCTTTGCGATTTTTCTCCAGCCTGTTCTTTATAATTTCCTGAAGAGGGCCGGTGAGCTCAGAAACTGCTGGGTTTATCTGCCAGGCTGTTTGCTCGTAGCCTTGAGCTAAGTGGTTGGGGGGTGTGGATGATGCAACCTGTTCTTTAGACAGAGGAAATTTGCTTGTGTTTCCTTTTAGACCTGAGCTGCTCAGTTTGCTAGGTGGCAATCAGATTCCCTGTACTCTCTGCAGCACTTGGAGGGATTTTTTCCTCTGTGTTTGTAGATAAGTAGCTCTGGTGGTGTAGTGCCTAAGGCATTTGACTGCTGACCAGAAAGTTGGTTCAAACTGACCAGCTGCTCCATGGAAGGAAGATGGAGCAATCTACTTGCGTAAACACTTAAGTGCCTTGGAAACCCAGTGGGGGTTGCTATGAGTTAGAATTGACTGTGGGTTTGGCATTGTTTGAATGGCAGTGGTATTGTTCATGTTTATTTTGTAGATTTGGTTTTTGTTATGTTCCAGCAGGGTGAGTTTGAAATCAATGGTTCTTGACCATTATCCTGCCTCACTTGAAGAAGTGATAATTTGTATCTATAGTTGGCCCCTTGGAAATCACCCTTGTTATCCAGCAGAACCTTTTGGGATGCCTTGGTTCTGCCTTTTGGGATGTGAATGTACAAGTAGGTCGGGTCTTTGTGCTTCTAATGCATGTCTCCTGGCTGGCCTTTACCTTCCTTTTGGAGGCCAGTCTGTAAGTCTCAGGAAGCCTTACAACTTTCAGTTTAGCAACTAGTTTTTAAAGGCTTACCAGAGCCTTGGTGTGGAATACTGATGTGAATAAAGCACTCTCTGCCCTCAGGGAGCTTGCTGGGTAGTTTTCTTGCTATTGACCACAATCCAAAGGATAGCCAGAGCCTAGAGTACTTGATGGGAGCTCTGGTAGCATAGTGGCTAAGACACTTGCCTGCTAACCAAACAGCTGGCGGTTCAGACCCACCAGCCACTCACTCCTCGGAAGGAAGGTTGGGCAATCCTACTTCCGTAGTGATACTGCCTCGGAAACCCAAGGAGGGGTCGCTATGAGTCGGGGGCCGACTCCACGGCACATAACAACAACAACAACAACAGAGTACTTGATAGGATCTCTGATGGCATAGTGCCTAAGGCATTTGACTGCTAACCAGAAGGCTGGCAGTTCAAAACCACCAGCCACTCTTCGGAAGGAAGACCTTTACTTCCTTAGAGGTACCACCTCGGAAACCCAAGGAGGTGTTGCTATGAAATGAATCAACCCCACGGCAGTGAGTTTGGTTTTGCTTTACAGTACTAGATGGAATCCTAATTTCTGTGTACTTTTTTCCAGTGCTCTTTCCTAGCGGTTCAGGTATGTGATGTCACGGCTCAGGGAGCTGGATGAGGCAGGTGTTAGCAGTCTTTTTCTCTGTGCCTGCTGCTTCCAGCCTTGATCTGTCCTTACTTATTGCTTTTCTCAACAACTGTGTTCCTGTCTTTGGTGTTGCCCCACTTCCAGCCTTCTCCATTGTGCTGCCAGACTAGTCACTCTGAAACCAAGCCTTGATCTCATCTTCCATTCATGTATCCTCAGTGGCTCCTCATTTACCCTCAGGGTAAATTTTGACCTTGGCCTAGCATGCAAAGCCATGTCCAGTATAGCCTGGCTAACCTTTGCAGCCTATTGCCTGTTACTCTGTCCTTTTCGTACCCTCTAGGCTCCAGCCTGGAGCTCTGGTAGCATAGTGCCTAAGGCACTTTACTACTAACCAGAAGACTGGCGGTTCAAATCCACCAGCCACTCCTTGGAAGGAAGGCTGGACAATCTACTTCCGTGGTAGTGATACCGCCTTGGAAACCCAAGGAGGAGTTACTATGAGTCAGGTCTGACTCGACAGCACAAAACAACAACGACAACAGGCTCCAGCCTGACTAAACTACTTGATGTTTCTTTCCAAGTTGTCCGCACTCTGTTGCTCTATTGGAATCATCTCCTCAGTCTAAATCATCCCCCTTCAATCCCTGCCAGCCAGCCCACAGTATGCTCATTCGTGTAGGCCTAGCTAAAGTCTTTAAATCCCTTTAAGCTCTTACTGAATTGCTTGACAGACGGACAATGCAATGGGAAATGCCATCACCTCCACTGAAGTGATGGGGACCTGGAGTGTCCAAGGTCATCCACTGTTGAATGGTAGAGCAAGCCTTGGGCCCAGTTTGGTGTGCTCTCCTCCACCATCTTCCTCCTTCAACATAATTCCCAGGAGTGCATTATGTCAAGTCTTGAAAGAAACCTTCACTCTGGTTCTCACCTTCATCTTCTATATTCCTCACCTCCAGATACCAGTGACCATGAAATCGCTGCAGCTACTCAGAACCCTGTTGTTCCTGTGCAGCCTGCTCTGGGCCTTCTCTGTCCCAGGCATCAGTGCTGAGGAACCTGGGGCCAGCTTCTCAAATGCTGGCAACGTGGGCTTGGATAAGAATACAGTGCACAACCAAGAGTACGTATTCTGCCCGGGGTTGTGGTCCAGGGTTCTCCCCATCATCTGTAGCTGCAGCCAGCTGGTAGGGCACACACTCCTCTCTTCTTTAGCCTGTTTATATGGCTGCTTGACGTTTTTCAAGGATGATTTTATTCCTTATAGCTACCTTGAAGTCAGGTACATTTTTTTATCATCATAGATGGAGGACCTTGAGACTCCCTCCTCATCACCCCCCCCACACACACACACACACATACACGCAGAGTAATAATGACAGTATGCAGACTAGAGCTAAGGTTTCTTGACTCTGACAAGACCTTTTTTTTTTTTTTTTTAACATTTCAAATCACAGAAAAAGGGCCTTTCAAATCACAGAAAGTTTGATTTTTTTTTTTTTTTTTAACTATCACATTCAAACAATCATTTGTTGTAGTTTTTGTCCTGGCTCAGTTAACTACATGTGTTATAGTTTTTTAATCCTTGAACTGTTTGAAAAATGTTTTAAGTTGATAGCCCCAAAATATTATAACAATATATAACCCATAATCTTGCCAGTGTAACAAATGAATGATTGGACTTTTTGCCATTCCTTCCAGGGCCTTGTCTATGTATCACCCTTGGTGTGGCTGCCACTGTTTCTGTTTGCTGTTTTGAACTGAATGAATTCTAAGTTCTTGAGCTGTTCATAGTACTATAGGTTTCAGCCCCATCCCAGTGTCTCTGCCTAGTGTTTGCCTTGGTCTGGTTCTGACTTGGTTTTTAGGCATATCATGGAACATCTGGAAGGTGTCATCAACAAGCCAGAGGCAGAGATGTCCCCACAAGAACTGCAACTCCATTATTTCAAAATGCACGATTATGATGGCAATAATTTGCTTGATGGCTTAGAACTCTCCACAGCCATCACTCATGTCCACAAGGAGGTAGGTCACACAGCGACTTGGTGGGTAGTGTCTCGAAAGGGCCTCCCTTTGGAGATTCAGCCCTCGAGCTTGATGACTTGTGCTGTCCTTCTGCAACAATATTGCTGCTTCTCCTTTCTCTCTTTACCACTATGTTTTGCTGCTTTTCCTATTCAGTGGTCCTTTCCACAAAGGCTGGCCCACTGAGGCAGAAACCACAGGGCTGGGCCTTTGTATCTTTAGCAAGTGCTACAGACATTTCTGCTGCACAGTATAGTTTGAGAACCAGTGCCCAAAAGGCAAGCAGCATTCAGAATATAGGACAGGGAAGATATTATTTCATTTGAGAAGAATGACATATCAGGAGGCCAAGGGGTTGCAGACTAGGCAACAAATAATTAAGGGTTTCTCAGTTTTTTGTACAGTACTCTGTTGTTTACAGGGTGATTTCAAGTAGGTTATCTTGCTTGATCTTTGCAACAGCCTGTAAGTAGGCAGGGACAGGTGGGGTTATTTCTCCCATTTTCCAGGTGAGAAAATTGAAATTGAGATCTTTTGTCTCCAGATGTAACCTTCTTTCCACTTGGCCACACTACCTGTCTGAAAGGAGGAGAGGCAGAGTTGGTGAGGGAAGTGTGATCAGACAGGCTGCTGGGAGGGCAGGTTTGGGTTTGCTCAGGAGGCAATGGGGAGCCACTGGCGATTCTGAGCAGGAGAATGGCCTGCCTGGAGCAGTGTCTTAGGAAGGTCCTTTGCTGTGGGAGATGGGCTGATGGATGTGAGAAGAGACTAGAGTCAGGGAGGAGAACTAGGATTCAGCAGTCCTGGCAGGTGAGGATGGAGAGGAGAAAAAAGGGGAGATGTGGGAGATCTGGCAAAGGAAGAAGCAGCTGAGGACGTGAATGGAATTAGCTTCACCCCAGTACAGTGAGTCCCCTGACACATGCTTTGGGAGCAGGGGACATAACTTTGACCAAAGAGGTTATAACAGATTCTACTGGGCCTCAATGCCTTCTTCTTCCTTTGACCCCCAGATGTTGTCCATTGTCTAACTGTTCCCACTTTATCAGGGCAAATTGTGTACAGAGTTAACCCTTAGAAGGGCTTGGTCTGGGAGCTTTTCTCTAGGATGATGGGTTTGTGGGTCACAGAATCTATGAAACTCCTGATTATACATGAGCCAGACCCAGGTTTCTACAATGAACTTGTATTACTTCTGTAATTAGGAAAGAATCAGAAGTGTTTTAAAAATAAACAAGAGCCTGCTTTGTACATTCCTTTTAACTTCCAAGTATAATTTCTCAATTGAATGATTATGAGGTGACTCTACTGGTACTCATCATCATCTGATTTATATTTTGTAGGAAGGGAGTGAACATGCTCCACCAATGAACGAAGATGAACTGATTAGCTTAATAGATGGTGTTTTGAGAGACGATGACAAGAACAATGATGGATACATTGACTATGCTGAATTTGCCAAATCACTGCAGTAGATGGTATTTGGCTATCTCTTAGTTATATGCAAATGTGACCCATTATAATGTGATTGAACACTCTGTAATGCAAAATAACTCATTTCCAACTATTGCTGCAGTCTTTTGGTAAAAACCTGTAGCAACTTGTTACACTGAAGTGAGAAAGAAAAATCAAGAGAAATAAAAGGGAAGAGAAATGGGACATATCATAGTCCCTAAGTACTGCTAAATGTCTTATTGGATAGGGGCCCGATTAGAGAACTGTTTTAAGAATACTGGATACTTGGAGCTGAGTACTCAGGAACTTGAATTTGACTGTAGAATACTGCTAGTCTCTTAGTTTTAATTCATGCTCCCTAAAAAGGACAGCAGGCTTTGACAAATGGATGTGTATTAATTAACAGTGAGGGAGTTGATGCCAAATATTTCTCATAGTGGACACTGCCTCTTCAGGTCAACATGGTCAGTATTCTGTAAAGGTCCTCTGGCCTCAATAATTAAATAATTACTTGCTCTGCACAAGTGGCTTCTAAGGCTATTTCAAAGCCACAGTATAAGAAGAATGTCCAGTGTTGCATTCCACTGGCCACAGGGCCCAAGATTCTGTATCCTCTGGCATTTTGGAACTGATACACCATTGACCTAAGAATTAACCTTTTTCAGTTTTTCAATACTTTGTAAAACTACTGCCACATCCCTTGTACTTTATGTGTTCAATGCGCGTTAAGAGACCTGGAATGTAAGTGCTCTCTGCTCTAATCAGTAGCAAATGTTTTCGCTTTCTTAATATTTGTATTTACTCTGGTTTAGAAACTTGTTTTTGCAGTTTAGAAACTATTAGAAATGTAAAGACTTATCCCTTCTTCTCCATACAGTAGAAATAAAACTACTAGCTGGTCTAGCCTAGGTCAGAAGTAAAAAGATCATCCAGCAGGCGCAACAGTTAGCGTCCTACAAGGTTTTATTTTAGAAGGAATGTTGTTTAAATGACCTCTTTTAGCCTGAATACATGAATTCTTTCAGATCAGGAAAGATTAGGAAAAGATTCCTAAATACTCTTAGAATGTGAATCTTAACAGTAGCTGAAAATGAGAAGCAGCAGATTGTAATGTAGGTTATGGGATGTGATAGATTTGTTGTAGTAGAAAAACCCAAAGTCAGTGGGAAAAAAAAAAAACTGCATAAAATTTGTTGTAAGATGTATAGAGACTTATTTTCTTTATTAAAATATTCTTATAAGAAAACATATGTATTTGTAAAAAGTGGTTTCCTGTGTCAAGTATTTGTGCAATCAGAGCTGAATTGTAAACTATTCTTGTAATATCTAGTTATTTTGTAAGATTTATATAGTGTATTGTAGATACATGACCAATAAAACTGGTGAAACAGAACAAGCTGTCCACTTTGTCCATGCAAGCGTCTTCCTTACCCCACCTTCCATTTGTAGGGTTTCTTTTTTTTAATACAGATGTTTACATGTGCTTAACCCTGGCTGTACTCTGTCCCTTTTTGCAGAGGTAGATTCCCAGTATTCAAAGTCACTTTCCCTGTTTAGGCATTTTTCTGAATGAAATCACTATTCAGACATTTGTTCTCTGGCCAAATAAGATTATGACTGTGTTCTCTAGATTAAGAGAATACAGCATTTTTCTTTGGAGTCTGATGACTCTTTTTTCCTTTGCCAGAAAATTTAATTAGACTGCATTGTTGAAAGCATCCAGGCCCAAGCAAAAGGCACCAGTGTCCTTGGCATTTTGGAAATGACAGATTTTGTTCTGCCAGTTGAAAAGCAAGGAGGAGGAAAGTGACCATTGTCATTCTTATTTTTTGAATCAAGGCATCTGCCAAGAGAGCTGCAAACTCAGGTAGCAATTTTTTTTTTTTTTTAATTGTGATTAGGGTGAAAATTTACAGAGCAAACTCATTTTCCATACAGCAGGTCATATACATTTTGTCTCATGACATTGACTACAATTCCCCACAGTGTAACAGCTCTTTTCCCACTTGCTCTCCATAGTCAACCTCTTTCTTGTGTCCTTCCCTCCCATGCACTCCGCCCGCTCCCTAGCTGTCTCCTCGTGCAAACACTGAGCTTCTGTTCTCCCATGATTGATCACTCCAAGTGTTGTTGTTGTTATGTGCCGTGAGTCAGACCTGACTCATAGCGACCCCTCCTTAGGTTTCTGAGGCAGTATCACTACGGAAGTAGATTGCCCCATCTTCCTTCTGAGGAGTGGCTGGTGGGTTTGAACTGCCAGCCTTCTGTTTAGCAGTCAAGTGCCTTAGGCACTATGCTACCAGCTCCAAATAGTATATCTTAAATGTTCACCCCATATGCCTGCCTGTTGTTTGGCTGGAAGCCACAGGAGTGAGTTCGATTGCAGACCTGACGAGTGGCAAGGGGCTATCATCTCAGGAATCTCACCAGGCTCTATCAGACCAGCAAAACAGATAGCAATTTTTTGAGCAAGATGAGGTAGCCAATAGCCCTTTAACCACATCAGCCTTTGTATAGTCGTTGGAGAGAACATACACAGTAACTTAGGAATAATTTTAGCACGATCATAGAATTTTGGAACTGAAAGGGACTTTAGATTGCCTATTCCATCCCCTTTATTTTTTGATGAAGGAAAACAGGCCTAGAGGTAAATGGTTTGCCTTAAGTCTCACCGTCAGAGACTCTGGGACCTGTTAGAAAAATTTAGGTGGGGCTTAGGCTCTCTCCCCAGAGTTTGGATGTTCGTTTTTTTTTAATGTAATTTTAAATATGAAAAAAATTTAAACCATTAAAGTATATAAATAACATGTCCTTCATCACCTTATAGTTTCACTTCTTTCCCATGAGTTAACCACTGTGGTTAATTTGGGGTATATCTTTTTGCATTATATGTGGCCATTTGGTTTGTGTATCTATGTATTACATATTTTCCATAAAATCCTCTGTGTTGTTTAATTATGGTAATTATATATATAACATATAGTTATTATAACACTATGCCTTAATGATATTTTGGACCTTCATGATATATCCCTTAGTGGTCATTTTAAGTCATTACCTGTCGATCTACTGCATATTTTTTGGCGGCCATATAGCATTCCATACTGTTATACTTTATTTAATCTCCCTAGTGGTTTTTCAGGAGGAGCTCTGGTAGCATAGTGGCTAAAGCACTTGACTGCTAACCAGAAGGCTGGCGGTTCAAACCCACCAGTCACTCCTCGGAAGGAAGGTTGGGCAATCCTACTTCCGTAGTGATACTGCCTCGGAAACCCAAGGAGGGGTCGCTGTGAGTCGGGGGCTGACTCGACGGCACATAACAACAACAACAGTGGTTTTTCACTATTAGAAGCAATGCTTGGATGACTATCCTTGCACATGGGTAGTTTGTTAGACCAATGGGTGCTTCCTTAGACTGGTACTACAAAGCCACAGGGGGTCTGCTGGTGAAGTTCAAGCCTGTGCTCACCCTAGAACAAGAACTGCCATGGTGGGGCTGGTGTTGGGCCTGTTAACACAGGCAGAGGCAGGAGGACTCATGAGAACCAAGCTTCCCCACCTTGGGAGCTATGCAGGAATTTGCAGCACTGAGTAAAGAGCCACAGAAAAGGGAACTCTTTCTGCCCAGTTGACAGTTTCCTGGGTTCTGACTTGGGATTGAATCTTGCACTGGCTCTTCACCTAGAGCTGTCTCTACAGTAAGTTGTATTGGGTTATATCTTTAGAATAGGAGCTCTGGTAGCATAGTGCCTAAGGCACTTGACTGCTAACCAGAAGGCTGGTGGTTCAAACCCACCAGCCACTCCTCGGAAGGAAGATGGGGCAATCTACTTCCATAGTGATACTGCCTCGGAAACCCAAGGAGGGGTCGCTATGAGTCAGGTCCAACTTGACGGCACATAACAGCAACAACAACATCTTTAGAATGGAGATAAATATACCTGAGAGGCAGCCTTGCATAAGGAAAGACCATAAGCTTCAGACTTAGGCAAACCTTAGTTGAAATCCTAGGCTTGCTACTCCTTAGCTGTGAAGTTCTCTAAATTTCATCTAAAAAATAACTGTAATAAAACTTACCTCCAAAAAGTGATTAAGAGGATTAATAAAATGAGAGAATGTATAATGCTAGTACAGTGTCTGGCAACAGAATAGGTGCTAAATACTCAAGTTATCTCCTGTTCCCCAGTGAGGCTGAAGGGTCTGGGCTGCTTCTCATTGAAGAGTGGATGCTGCAAGGGCTATGAAGAAATTGATGACTCCTCAAGGGCAATGTTTTGGTCCTCTAGTGCATCTCTAACAGAAAAATACCACAGGTGGATGGCTTGAACAAATAGGAGTTTATTCTCTTAGAGTTTAGGAGGCTAGGGTTCTGAGTTGAAAGGGCCAGCTCTAGGGGCTGGGTGAAAAAGCCCCTCAACCTGGGCCTTCGGCTCTATCCCTTGGTCCGTCTCTTGCTCCCAGCCCACTGGAGCTAGAGGTGTCTCTTAGGTCAGGCAGCTGCTGGCTGCTGAGCCTGACAAACCCAAGGTTCACAAGTCCCAAGATTATCAAGCAATATGGCAGACCACTAATTCAAGTCCATTAACAGTTCCAAGATCAGCAGAAAACATGGCAGACCATTGAGATGAAGACTCAGCTACATGCAGGGTTCAACCATGCCAAAAAGCTCAGAGACCTTTCCCAAAGCTCTCTTCTTATCTAGTGGAAGCAGACCCCATCCCTAAGGCAGCTACCCAGCTGCTACAGTAGATTCCACCATGGTGTTGATTACCAGTCTCATCATAGGGAATAACTACAACACTTGCCCAGCCACTCAAAACCAAGCCAACCAAGATAACACGCAACTACCACAAGCAGGGATCATAGAGTCCTTTCTGCTTCTTATATGCCTCACTATAAAAGCTGAATGAATGAATGAATTCTCTATGGAGAAATAAAGACATGCCAAGTGTGATGTTGAAAGACACAAAAGCATTGAAATAGGAGTCAGACCAAAGGAGTTTCCATCTCATCTGGTCTCCTGACAAGTGTCTTCACTGGGCCTCGGGTCCCTTGAAGAAAGGAAAGAACAGACCACCTCCCACAGCCCCTTTGTCAGTACACCTAGTCTGACTTTGAACTATCTTGTTATCTGACATTTTGCATTTACAATAATGGTAAAAAAAATCTATTTTAACACTGTGGTGCTAGGTGAGAATAACACTGGCTGTGATGGTTAATCAATGCTGGCCATGAGTCGCAGTGGTTTGGC